CACACACAGCATTGATTACAAAAAATAACTGTAAATAATTGTATAAAAAATTTTTGCCATTTAGCTCATTTTAGCACTGTTTTTTGAACATCCTGTATAAATTTCTAACGTATCACAGGTGAGAAAAATTCTTGCTTTTAACATGTTTCTCTAAAAATAAAACAAGATGGAGAGACATTTCAGAACAATATGAAAAAATGATGATCGTCTACAATCGAAACGGCTCAATCGGAAATCACAATTTTGTGCAATTACATGAAGCAGAAAAATAACAAACAATGTATATGTTAATCCATTTCCTCAACAAATAAATTTTCGGGTAAACATTCAGTTTAACATTTCGAAAGAATAAACTTTGTGATGAAACATTACATATGTGTGTATGGAGTTATATATAGAGTTGCAAGACAAATTGTGATTGTCGGAATGTTACACCAAAGAAATGAAATAATGTTACAAACTATCGAACGTATAAAATCAGAAAAAAAAATATATAAAGAAGTACAAATAATTTAATCTATAAATTATACGCGTCGCATAATATACATGAACAATGCGTTATTTTGTCACAATTAGAACAATATATCAACTGTAATATATTACAACTTCTATATCGATTGTTTCAGTAAACAAAAGCAATTAATTTAACAATAATGGAAAACTCACCCAGGTCCATTGGGTACAACCAACTGTTGATGTCTAGGATGAGATCCATTTTGAATGATTCCGATTCACAATGGAGTCTGCTCACTGAAATTCATAAAAAAAGAAAATACTATTAAAAATTATACGATATACATTTCATATATTATTGAATGATTGATTACGCTACGAGAAAATGAGACACTGATTCATTCGAAGAAATCATCGAAAAGGAAATCTCATTTTTTTATAAAAAACGTCAGTTGTGACGTTTGATCAAATATTGATCAAATATTGAAATGACTTTCAATTTTCAATTCATAATCATTAGCGTATACGCATACACGTAGATATTTGGAAAGATTAATTATTTAAAAATTATTTAAAATTATTTAAAAATTATTTAAAAATTATAGATATTTGCAAATATTTACTCTGACTTTTGCGATATCTATCAAACGAGAGTAATTGCAATTACTTACGCCAAGAAAATAAAATATGCGGACTTGCGTCTAAAATTCGCAAAAATGCGATTATATTTTAAAATTCTTACCTCCATTTTCACTAATGTAGATTAACTTTGATCTCGATTAAATTCACTTTTTTTTTTTATATAGTTCTATGAATTAGTTCTCACATAGTTCTATGAAAAGAAGATAAAGAATAAATTGAATCGAGATCAAAGTTAATCTACATTGGTGAAAATGAGAGTTGGTGTTTCACATTTTGATGTTTTAAATTAAATAATATTGTCGATAAAAGAATAAGAATAGCATATTAAATGCAATTGAGGAGATGGTTGGAATAAAGAGACAATTTTAGTTAGATCTTTTTTCCAGATTTTGGCGTAAATAAAGAAACTGATGTTGCTTATATTGATCATATGTGAACGTATTTTGATTGATCCTGTGGTGAAAACGATATAATCTATGAAAAAAAGAAAATGGAAAAATACTTATTGTATAATTAAAAAAATAACGAGTTATTTTAATTTTTCTCAAAATTAAGATTTTATAATTAGGCCCTTATTCCATCCATCCCCTCAATTCTTTCGCACATACGAGCCATATTGAAACTTTTTGCATATACAAAGAATACATTGCGCTTTCCTGTGTGTTACCATAATACAAATTTTATCATAAATAAATCCTTCTTTAGATTAATTTACAACATAATTAATATACAATTGGCTTTGCATATGGTGTACTTTAAATAAGATTGATATAAATAATAATCAAAATACCAAATTGATCAGAAAATAAAGTTTGAAATCTGGCAAGAACGTCACAAGATTTTGCTCGAATACGCATCGAAATAAAAGCAAAAAGCATTCTATAAAGTACATTTTTTTAACGACAACGATCGATTCTTTTATGAACGATGAACAATTGGATGATCGCGAATTGCACGCGTCACGCCCCCGACAGCCTTTGATATATTTCGCCGCACCACGTCCTTGGGATCCAAGGTTTCACACTCGATATTGATTTCGTGAATGTATGACACCCGCCCGCATCGTGATAATCTAATATCGACGTAGTGTCATTCTCACGCGGCACGACTGATCTTGAGGGTGCTCGCAAAGCTCATTATCAACACTGTAAATCAACGTGAATGAATAATGGAGAAGCGTAATATATTTATTGTAGCTTGCATCGCATATAACTAATCCCATGACGCGATTCGTTTTTCGTAATATGATGCAAACTAATGTTTCATGTCGTAATTCAAACCAATCGATTATATACTACTAATCTTTAAAATACAAAATTATTATAAGAAAATGTATTTGTTAAATAGATCAATTCATAAAATCACGATGTGTTCTAAACAAATTCCTGAAGAATAGAAAATATTTTTCGAATCGTGCAAAAAGAGATTTTAATCTTCATTGTAGAGTTAAATTACTCGGAGAATATATACAACGTATAAATTGTCACGAATATAAATTATCGCGACTCTCTCTGCGAGATATTATTTCAGCAACTACTCACGCGAATAATTTGTAGAATTAATCTACCCTCCATTGTTGGTCCCAATCTAGGGATCCGAGTTTCCAATCGAAACAACGAAAGCAAAAAAAAAAAAACATCGTTCTCGCGAGTGCATCGATGCTTTCTAAACAACTCGACAAACTTCGACATTTGCTTGCACTTTTTTTCCTTCACCCACGCAATTCACTGTTTTTCCCACTGATTCCACTCTCTTTCGCATCTTCTTTTCCTTCTCCCTTTTTTCTGTTTCTTTTTTTCTTCTCTCTTTTTTTTCTTCTCTCTCTCTCTCGCTCTTTCTATTATTCATGTTCGTTATTTCTATAAATTTCACTCTTACAAATACTACGTCATTAAAAATTCCGTCTCTTCCTTCTCCCCTCTCCTCTCCTCTTTCTCTCGAAGAGTCCACATTGCGCGGGGATAGGAGAACACATAAGTAACCCCAAGGCAAGCTGCGATAACACTACGATCTACTCTCGTTGCTGACGTTGCTCTCAGCTGGTAACCTTTACGGAGGAGGGCAAACCGGCGGCGACGGCGCTGAAGAGAGGAGACAACCAGCAACGGCGACCTTTACGGTCCATCCGCTACCAGCGTAAATTTTCCAACGAGCTGCCTCCTCTCTTTCCTCGGAAAAGGGCGGCCGCCCTCCCCGACGAGTTTGTGTTCAACTCCCTCGCCAAAAGAGAGAAGAGTGCACCCCCCCCCCTCTCTCTCTCTCTCTCTCTCTCTCTCACTAGTACGTCACGCACTTCTGCTCCATACTTCCATGCTTCTTGGATGAATTTAAATTAAATTAATGTTACTCCTCGCAACAACAGGGAAAAAAAGAAAGCTATATTAGTTTCCACTAATTCTTATATTAATTTGTCAAATAATCGACTTTTTGTCTCTTTTTTATAATTGCAAGATATCCACGGCAAAAGATAATAGGTACGGCGAATAAAGTGGCTCTTGCTGATTCTGAGAGCTCAAATATTCAAATATTTAAATACTTTCGCAAAATTTTAACTAAAATATCATAGATAAGTTATATTTTAAAATAACAGTAAATCTTTCAATTAAAATACGTAAAATTATTTTGTTAATTAGATTCAACTATCAACAAAGTTTTATCTTCTCATTTTCGAAATTCATTCCTGTCCTCCAAAATCAAAGACAAAGAATTAATAAAATTTCTGGTTACTCAACATCTGACAATTAATTCAAAACTATATGTTTACTTTATTTCAGTAAAAACTAGACATCAGCATTTAAACATATTAAAAATGTCGTGTCAGAAAGTTGTTGCCAGTCAGTGCATTCATTTGTGGATTCGTGCTATGCAAATTACGTAATGCAGGCAAAACTGTTTTAATCTCGACAAATTCAATTTTTTCCCCCATTACGAATGCGAAAAATAGATCTGACGCCACAAATATCACAGCTTCAATTTTATATCGTAATTACATTGAAATCGATATAACATCAACTCACTCTCACTCTTCTCAAAAAGAACGCAAAAAGAAAATATGTAATCTTTACGCTATTCAAAATCATTTTTAACCCGAAATGCACCCGATGCTCATCTTTCCAAACTATTCGCCATCTGCATCACACCAAAATGATCCTTCTCCCACTCTTCCCTCATCGAGCCGAGGAGAGAGCTTGACTGGCCGTCCCCGCTGCGCCCCGGTGCAGGACGAAAGGGATGGCAATGCACTTACCCCCACATTACACCCTCGACGCACTATTCCGCCTACACCAAGTCCTTTTTCCCAACCTCTCCGTCCTACATCGCCTTCCATCCCGGAAAGGATTTCATTCTATTTCGTTCTATTTTTGCTCTCATCCATGGCTATTACACTTGGGTTCGCTCGCTACTCTACTTTTTTATTTTTCTCCACAGTAGGCTTTACAACTTGTTGTATGAGATGGCGTAAAAATACTATTGAAGTTTCATTTTGGTAATACACCCGAACAACATACATTAAATACATTAAATACATTTTTAATCACTCTTTTCTTGAGAGCCTTAATACAACCGAGTTTTTTATTTAAACGTCAATAATCATCTTTTTTTTTTCATGAAAAGAAAACAACATAATAAATTATGTTTTAAAAACAAACGCGTCTGCCATATAATTTTATTCGTTCCCTTTTTTTGTATCGCATTAATTACGGCTAACTTTTAATATTCTTCGTACCATATTATTTTAAATGAACACCCGAAATATCCTCCCAAATATCCCATATCGCAATTGACTATTATAGTAGATCATAAAACTCTGTAGTTTTACGATTATCCAGCGCTTAATTACAGATCTAATGATTTGGTAATGATAATCGGTACAACGCCGTCAATCAAGAGAACAAAATTGAAAGCAATGAATAATTTTCAACCATAAACGAGTCTAACAAAAAGTGTCACAAACCATGTAACGCTCGTTACTTTCCAAATCTAATCGCGCACGTTACGATTTATATTTTACAGCATACTAATATTTTATGACATATTAATACCATCTAGCAAATTATATTTGTAAAATAATATTATTAACGTGCCAAGCATTGAGAAACATTTCTATTTTCAAACAATTACTTAAATTTCAATAAACCTTAAATTAAAAATATAGGATTATTATAGACAGTTCCTTAATAATGTACTATATATAATGCGTCTGTTTCATAAATATTCAATATAATAAATTTAATCGAGACCTTAAGATAAATGTAACATTATCTTTCGCAAGATAAAAAAGCTCTTTCTTCTTACCAAAATATCATTAAGTGACAAATATTTTAAAAAATTATACATATAATCACATAATACGCACATACATGCAAACACTTTTCGTCTCTAACACTATAATTTTTTAATTGTAAAAAAATAAAAAAAAATTTAATAAACGTGGCAAAATCATTGTGCGTACACGATGAGTCACTTCAGATCTTAACAGTTTTTTGTTCTAAATAATCGATTGTGGTTTTAATTTAATACCTCTTGCCACGCCATTCGGTCATTTTCCGATAAAGCGCCCCATGAATTGCATCAAAAATACACGTAAAACTGCTATACTTAGAATTGTGAGTGCAGCAGGCAACATGCTCACAATGAATTTATCGGTGAATTAT